TAACATAGACCTAATAGAAGATAAAGATTTAAAAGATAAAGTACTTAATGTCAAGAGAGTAGGTGATAAGCTCCTATTAATCAAACTCGTGTTAGGGTAGGTAATTAATATAATTAATGCTTATGCGCCACAAGTAGGACTAGAGGATATAATTAAGAGACAATTCTAGGAGGACATAGATGGACTAGTCCAAGAACTACCAAATAAAGCGAGGACCTTTTTAGGAGGGGATTTAAATGGTCATGTAGGAAAAGATAGTATAGGATATGAAAGGGTACTTGGGGATATGGTTTTGGGGAAAGAAATGATATGAGTGAGGCTATCTTGGATTGTCTTAAAGCCTACGACCTAGCAATAGCAAACACCCACTTTAAAAAGTGAAATGAGCGTTAAATAACTTGCAAAAGTGACTTATATAAGCACCACATCCTTCTAGTCAAGAAGGTAACTCAACCATAATGTAAAGACCGCAAGGTTATCCTAGGAGAGAGTTTGACTATGCAATATAGGCTTGTGGTTATGGATGTCTGCTTAAAGAGAGAGAGAGAGATTGAAACTAATAAGCATCCAAGAACTAGGTGGTGGAATCTCAAAAAGGAGAACATAGACTTATTTAGGGACAAATTGGTAAAAGAAGGAAAGTGGTATTCTAAGCACGAAGTTAATGTTATGTGGAATGAGATGGTCGACTTTATTAAGAAAGTGGCAAAAGGAAGTTTTAAGAGAAACTAGAGGGAAATGAAATTTCAACAAAGAAACCTGGTGGTGGAGTGAGGAGGTTCAGAAAGCTACTAGTGAAAGATGTTCATGTTATAAAGTTTTGCAATGTAATCGAAATGACCAAAACTTAGAAGAATATAAAAAGGCTTAGAAAAAAGCTAAACAAATAGTAAGGCTAAACATAAAGCATATTGTAATCTATGCAATAAATAGGGGACAAAAGAAGGTGAAAATGATGTTTTCAAACTAACAAAAATAAGAGAGGAAAAGTATAGGGATTTAGATCATATTAGACGAGCTAAAAGTGAGGATCATAGGATCATGGTAAAAGATGACGAGGTTAAGTAATTAACATTAGACATAAATGAGGGTGGAGGTCATAGTTACTTTTGCAGGATTAGGATATCTGAAGTGAAAGAAGCCTTGAGAAAGATGAAGTAGGACAGGCTTTAGGACCAAATGGTATCTCGATAGAGGTTTAAAAGTTCATGGGAGAGATTGGCATATGCTAGCTTACCAAGCTGTTTAACAAGGTGTTGAGAACAAGGAAATTGCTAGACAAATGGAGCAAACTTATTGTAGTACCTATTTATAAGAACAAAGGAGACATACAAAATTGTACAAGTTATTAAGGGATTAAACCTATAAGCCACACTATGAAGTTGTAGTAGAGAGTGCTTGAGCAACGACTAAGGTATAAAACTAGTGTATCCGAAAATCAATTCGGCCTTAAATATTGAAGTGATTTTCCTACTTAGACAACTGAGAAGTTTAGGGCGAAGGGAAAAGACCGCCACATAGTTTCTATTGATTTAGAGAAAGCATACAATAGGATATCTAGAGATTTAATTTGGTGGGTGTTGGAAAAGAAAGGAGTCACCAAAGGTTATATTGACATGGTGAGAGATATGTATAAGAGAGCGCTAACTAGCCTGCAGACAACGAGTGCAGAGGTAAGTGAGTTGTCAATGACAATGGGCCTACATCAAGCGTCAACGTTGAGCTATTGGAATTATGGCCTTTCAAGGTGCGGTTTTGCCAGCACAGTTCTAAGTCACTATGGGAGTGACCAAGAACATTGAGGCTACCGGAATCTTTGCGGACTGGGATCCGGATAAGCCTAAATAACCTTGATTACATGAAGCAAGGTTCTTGGGCCATGTTATGAATTGAGAGGTTTGAGGGTGTCCTCTAGTCAGGGTCTGTCTGTGTGTGCGCCTCATGTGGTGTGAGCCAAGGCTTAGGGATCAGCAGATCCCAATTTGTTTGAGATATTTTGTGTGAAGCCATGTATGAGCTAAGCTGAGCTCTGAGAGGACATCAGCCCAAATCCTTGATGTGTTTAGCTTGCTCATGGCGTGTGCACGAGACAGTTGCATTTGGGAAGCCGTTCTGATGAGGGAAGATCCACCTATCAGAATTGTACACATGTGTTGAGAGAGGACCCCCCCACCTATCAGAATTGTGCACATGTGATGAGAGAGGACCCCCTCATTTTACCCCCGCGTTTGTAAGAGTTCATGTCCTCAGGGAACACCTGAAATCCATTGAACACTCAGAGATCCAATGGCCTATTTTTAAGCTTTGATAGGTCCAATCGTGTATCTAGACTTAAGTCTGTGGCACATAAGGGCTTGTCGGGTTGATCTGATAAAGCGGTCTGGGTTTCCGAATCTAGCCCAGTGGAGTACACCTTGTAGGCCAACCTCTCGAAGGATCCTAATTTCCCAACTAGATTTATCTGAAGTGCCAAACTGTGTTATTTTGATAGAAAATGATTAAAAATGATTTACTGTGATTTTAGAGAATTTTTAAAAAAATTATTTTGAGGAAAAGTGGCTTATTTAAAAAAATTATTTTGAGCAAAAGTGGCTTATTTAAATTGTTGGTGTGAAATTCCAAATAAGGACATTCGCATGTGCGGCGTGTGGCACACAAGTGGCCAATGTGCGCCACACGTCGACCCTCCAGACCTCCACGTCATTGCATTGCAGGATGATGTGGACTGTCCTAGGGTGTGGGTGTATATGTCTTGTTTGGTTTTACACATAACTATGATGGCTATAATCCTGTGGCACATGTGTAGACCACATGTGTGAAGGCATGTGTGTGCATACACATTTGAATTTCCCTATTATCATGATTCCCTTGCCAAAATTCCTTAGGATTCCTCTAGCCTCTACTATTTCAGTTCTAATTTGCACATGGGAAAAGCCCACTAGAAATTTCCTCGTGTCATTTTTCTTTGGTTTAAGGAAGCTAAATTGTATAGTTTAGGTTTTTAAAAACGCCGATCCAGATTGGAATCGCCTGATTTGGATTGGGAATTGGTGGGACTGGTCACGTTCCCACCATATATAAGGAACCAATCGATTTGGTGCTAGCTATTACTTTTACTATTTTATTCAAGTTTTAGTTTTGGTTCTCTATTGTTTTTTATTTTTTTATTTGCCTATTCACTTGGCAAGATTGCCGATCCGGACTGCCAATCCGTCGATCTGGACCGGTTCTCTGGATGGGCGACCTAGGTCACAGGTCCGTTTTTTTTAACACTGATATAGTTGCAATGGCTTCTTTTAATATTTCACGAATTTGTGTATTCAATTTTACGAATCTTAATTTCTCACTTCTGTTAAGAGTCTCTCTATCAGAGGATTGAAATTACCTACACGTTGTCTGGGCTACATAAGGATGAGGCAGCTACAAAATGAAAAGGAATCCACCCAAAACTTTTTCCTCGAGTCGTCCTACGTTTGGGATTCAAACTTGAGATATATTGTCACAATAGTCAGCTTCTTGACCAACCCTGCTCAAATTCCAAATATTAACCCTGCAAAAACTTTTAGAAAATGGAAATAACATTAAAAAGTTGGAAAACCTTGATATAAGGTTGTAATCTTAAAATGTAGAATTAAAGATGCACCTCAAAAATCCATCGGAAAGGTTGTTTTAATGTTAGAAAACCCACTAATTGATCATCTCGACATCGAGATGTATGAATATGAAAACCAAAAAGGATTTTGAGTCTCATAAATAGTGCATCTTGCAACACATTATCTAGACCGTTCATTTTAAAGATTTTTATCTATTTATAGATCTACTTGATTTTAACCATATTTGGAGTTTAATATTTTATATTTAGAGGTAAAAATAAATTTTTCAGATAATCCTAAGAATTTTTTACATCAAAATTACATAGTATCATAGTTTTAAAAAGCGGACCGCCCAGCGTCTAGGCGGTGTGCCCAAGCCTAGGCAGCCAAATTAGGTAGATATCCCTGGGTGCCTGCTTAGGCGCCCGGGAACCCCTGAACCTGCCTAGGCTGGCCGCCCAGGGCCTAAAACGGCGAAATTGTGGGTTTTAGGTTCATTTGAAATCTATAACCCATTAGAGGCGATTTTAGATAGAGAAAACCTCCAAAAAAAATGGGTGTAGTTTGTATAGAGCCCAGGCTCTAAACAATCAAATTAGAGCCTACCTTCAAATAGTATCGAGAAATGTGGTTTCAATATTGAAAATCTTTGTGATAGCCTTAAAATATATTTTCATATTTACTTATAAAGTTTCAAGGTTCAAAAATAGTGTAGATCGACATATCTATGAGAACTTGAAAATCTTGAAAGTTGATGGTCCAAAAATGTGTTACAAAATACACTACTTTCAAAACTTGCAATCCATTTTTTTCTCGTGTCCATATATCTTGATGTCGAGATGATCAATTTGAAAATATTTGGGCATCAAAACAAACTCTTCTAGTGAAATTTTTGAGGTAGGCTTAAATTTGATTGTTTAGAGCCTCGGGTCCATATAAACTTTTTCCAAAAAAAAATTTCTATTAGGCCGCTCGTGTCCTGGGTGCCGGCCTAGGAGCTGGGCGGCCTGGACCCCCCAACTGCCTAGGTGCCGCCTAGCGCTTTTTGAAACATTGCATATTATGATAAAATTTGGAGGTGTGCCTTAATTGGATTGTGTTTAAGATTGCAACCTTACACAAACCACCACATCCCAAAAGTTTGACCTGTTGAGCTTGACAAAACCAGTGCATTTGTGGGGAGTGTGTTGGACTAGCCTGTCCGATCAGCTGGACTATTTGAAAGAAAACAAAAATACGCTGGCCTGGTTGAATCAGGTTGTATAAGTCAATCCAATGTTTTAGCTGTCGCCGCAATGGCTCAGTGTTCTGGTTCACATATGCTAGTCTTTGTTCTGGTTCACATATGCTAGTCTGTGTTTGTTTGTGCCTTTGTTAGAGAGTGCACTCAGTTTCTTTTATTTGCAGGAAGACGGTGCAAAAACGGGAAAGGTTACTTCAGCCGGAATGTATTTCCTCCGCTTCCCAGTTTACAGATTGGATCAAACAGCAAATGCAGTTAAGTGTTGTTTTGAAAAGAGTTGGTAAATACCCTTGAAGAATATTGTCTTCAACTCTCAAAAGAAAAAAAAAGAACAGAGGAAAAAGGAAAAAGAAAAATCTTCTTCATCTCCATGCACATTCCACTTGTGTAATTTTTATTATCAACAGATACTGGCTGCCAAGGATCCTGATGCTGCTTTCTTCAAGAAATTGGATGGGTTTCAGCCATGTGAGATAACAGAGCTCAAAGCCGGCAAGCATGTGTTTGCTGTTTATGGTTAGTCACTCTTCACTTGCTTCAACACCTTCGATTTGTTATTTTGTGTGGGTAGGCGAGCTTGCAACCATGTTCCCTAACCACTTAGCCAAGATGCCACAACCCAATTGTCGTAGGGTTAGAAATTTCATCTCCAATTGATGCTATGCTTATGGCTAAGATATATCAAGTCCGCTTGTTCATGATCCACGCATTCTTTTACAGGTGACAACTTCTTTAAGAGCGCTAGCTACATTATTGAAGTAGTATGTGCAGAGCCCTTTCCTGAGGAGAAAGAGAAACTCCGGGAAGTGGAAACCCAGATCTTGTCCAAGAGGGCTGAGCTCTCCAAGTTCGAAGTAGAATACCGAGAGGTCTATCATCGTAGCCATGTACTTTGCAGACACACTCAGGCAGAGAGAGAGAGAGAGAGAGAGAGAGAGAGAGAGTAGTTGTCGTTGTAGGTATTATTAGTTATTAGTTATTACTAA